CTAGTCCTACAGGAGGATAACCTTCAGAGAAAGATAGATCTAGTACTATGGGGAGAACCTTGAGGGACAGATGAACCTAGTCCTATCGGAGGAGAACCTTGAGGGACAGATGGAGCCAGTTCTATAGAAGAGTCTCCAGGGACAAAAGGCCTAGTCCTATGGGACAAGAACTTTGAAGGACAGACAGGCCTAGTTCTATGAGAGAATAGCCTTCAGGAACAGATGGAGCAAGCTCTATAGGAGACCCTCCAGGAACAGATAGACCCAGTTCTGTGGGAGGAGAACCACCAGGGACAGATGGAGCCAGCTCTATAGGAGAATCTCCGGGGGCAGATGGACTCAGTTCTATGGGAGGAGAACCTTCAGGAACAGAAGGAGCTAAGCTCTGTGGGATAAGAATTTTCAGGGAGAGAGTGCACTAGCTCCATGGGTGGAGAACCTTGAGGGACAGATGGACCTAGTTGAATAGGAAAATATCCGGGGACAGATGGACTTAGTTCTATGGGACAAGAACCACGAGGGACAGAGACCTAGTTCTATGGGAAGAGAACCTTCACAGACAATTGGATCTAGTACTATGGGAGGAGAACCTTGTGGGACAGATGGACCTAGTCCTATGGTACTAAGAACCTTGAGGGACAGATTGATTCAATAGGAAATCATCCAGGGACAGAAGAGCCATTTCTATTGGAGAACTTTCAGGAACAAATGGACCTAATGCTATGAGAGAACCTTTAGAGATATATGGGCCAGTTCGATAGAAAACCACCAGTGACAAAAGGGACCTATGGGAGAACATTTAAGGACAAATGGACCAAGTCCTAAGGGAGAACATGCAGGTGATGCCAGATCTATAGGACAGCCTTCAGGTACAATTTGACCTAGTTCTATAAAAGAACCTCCAGGGACGAATGGTGTCAGTTCTAAAGTAGTGAACCTACAAGGGACAATTGGACCTAGTGCTATAGGAGGAGATCCTTCAGGGACAGACAGACCTAGTTTTATAGTAGGTGACCCTGCTTCCCATACTGAACAAATGTACATAGTAAAGCTATAGGAGATACTGCAGGGACAGCCGGAGCCAACTCTATAGAACCTTCAGGAACAAATGACCCCAGCACTATGGGACCTCCGGGGACAGGTGGACCCAGCCCTAGGGGAGGAGGACCTCGGGCGACAGGTGGACCCAGCCCTAGGGGAGGAGGACCTCGGGCGACAGGTGGACCCAGCCCTAGGGGAGGAGGACCTCGGGCGACAGGTGGACCCAGCCCTAGGGGAGGAGGACCTCGGGCGACAGGTGGACCCAGCCCTAGGGGAGGAGGACCTCGGGCGACAGGTGGACCCAGACCTAGGGGAGGAGGACCTCGGGCGACAGGTGGACCCAGACCTAGGGGAGGAGGACCTCGGGCGACAGGTGGACCCAGACCTAGGGGAGGAGGACCTCGGGCGACAGGTGGACCCAGACCTAGGGGAGGAGGACCTCAGAGGACAGGTGGACCCAGCCCTAGGGGAGGAGGACCTCAGGGGACAGGTGGACCCAGTCTCGGGAAAACCTCAGGGACAGGTGGACCCAGTCTCGGGAGAGACCTCAGGGGACAGGTGGACCCAGTCTCGGGAGAACCTCAGGGGACAGGTGGACCCAGTCTCGGGAGAACCTCAGGGGACAGGTGGACCCAGTCTCGGGGAGAACCTCAGGGGACAGGTGGACCCAGTCTCGGGAGAACCTCAGGGGACAGGTGGACCCAGTCTCGGGAGAACCTCAGGGGACAGGTGGACCCAGTCTCGGGAAGTATCGAGAACCTCAGGGGACAGGTGGACCCAGCCCTAGGGGAGGAGGACCTCAGGGGACAGGTGGACCCAGTCTCAGGGGTGAACCTCAGGAGCAGGTGGACCCAGTCTCAGGGGAGAACCTCAGGGGGCAGGTGGACCCAGTCTCAGGGGAGAACCTCAGGGGGCAGGTGGACCCAGTCTCAGGGGAGAACCTCAGGGGGCAGGTGGACCCAGTCTCAGGGGAGAACCTCAGGGGGCAGGTGGACCCAGTCTCAGGGGAGAACCTCAGGGGGCAGGTGGACCCAGTCCAGTCTCAGGGGAGGACCCAGGGAGAACAGGGGGCAGGTGGAACCCAGGGGGCAGTCTCAGGGGAGAGACCTCAGGGGCAGGTGGACCCAGTCTCAGGGGAGAACCTCAGGGGGCAGGTGGACCCAGTCTCAGGGGAGAACCTCAGGGGGCAGGTGGACCCAGTCTCAGGGGAGAACCTCAGGGGGCAGGTGGACCCAGTCTCAGGGGAGAACCTCAGGGGGCAGGTGGACCCAGTCTCAGGGGAGAACCTCAGGGGCAGGTGGACCCAGTCTCAGGGGAGAGAACCTCAGGGGGCAGGTGGACCCAGTCTCAGGGGAGAACCTCAGGGGGGCAGGTGGACCCAGTCTCAGGGGAGAACCTCAGGGGGCAGGTGGACCCAGGGGGCAGGTCTAGGGGAGGAGGAGACCTCAGGGGGCAGGTGGACCCAGTCCTAGGGGAGAGAACCTCAGGGGGCAGGTGGACCCAGCCCTAGGGGAGGAGGACCTCAGGGGGCAGGCCGACCCAGCCCTAGGGGAGGAGGACCTCAGGGGGCAGGCCGACCCAGCCCTAGGGGAGGAGGACCTCAGGGGGCAGGCCGACCCAGCCCTAGGGGAGGAGGACCTCAGGGGGCAGGCCGACCCAGCCCTAGGGGAGGAGGACCTCAGGGGGCAGGCCGGACCCAGCCCAGGGGAGGAGGACCTCAGGGGGCAGACCCGACCCAGCCCTAGGGGAGGACCTCAGGGGGCAGGCCGACCCAGCCCTAGGGAGCCTCAGGGGGCAGGCCGACCAGCCCTAGGGGAGGAGGACCTCAGGGGGCAGGCCGACCCAGCCCTAGGGGAGGAGGACCCTCAGGGGCAGGCGGACCCAGCCCTAGGGGAGGAGGACCTCAGGGGCACAGGCCGACCCAGCCCTAGGGGAGAGGACCTCAGGGGGCAGGCCGACCCAGGGGAGGAGGACCTCAGGGCAGGCGGGACAGAGACCTCAGGGGAACCGACCCAGCCCTAGGGGAGAGAGACCTCAGGGGGCAGGCGGACCCAGCCCTAGGGGAGGAGGAGGACTCAGGGGGCAGGACGCAAACCACCTCAGGGGAGGACAGGCGCCCAGCCCTAGGGGGACGACCTCAGGGGACAGGCGGACCCAGGGGGACAGACCTCAGACCCAGCCTAGGGGAGGACGACCTCAGGGGACAGGCGGACCCAGCCCTAGGGGAGGAGGACCTCAGGGGACAGGCGGACCCAGTCCTAGGGGAGGACGACCTCAGGGGACAGGCGGACCCAGCCCTCAGGGGAGGACGACCTCAGGGGACAGGCGGACCCAGCCCTAGGGGAGGACGACCTCAGGGGACAGGCGGAACCCAGTCTCAGGGGAGGAGGACCTCAGGGGGACAGGCGGGACCCCAGGGACTAGGGGAGGAGGACAGGGAGGGGACGACCTCAGGGGACAGGCGGACCAGTCTCAGGGGGAGGGGACAGCGGACCTCAGGGGACAGGCGGACCCAGTCTCAGGGGAGGAGGACCTCAGGGGAGGCGGACCCAGTCTCAGGGACAGGCGGACCTCAGGGGACAGGCGCTGACCCAGTCTCAGGGGAGGAGGACCTCAGGGGACAGGCGGACCAGTCTCAGGACACAGGCGGACCCAGTCTCAGGGGAGGAGGACCTCAGGGGACAGGCGGACCCAGTCTCAGGGGAGGAGGACCTCAGGGGACAGGCGGACCCAGTCTCAGGGGAGGAGGACCTCAGGGGACAGGCGGACCCCAGTCTCAGGGGAGGGAGGACCTCAGGGGACAGGTGGACCCCAGTCTCAGGGGAGGAGGACCTCAGGGGACAGGCGGACCCAGTCTCAGGGAGGAGGACCTCAGGGGACAGGTGGACCCAGTCTCAGGGGAGGAGGACCTCAGGGGACAGGTGGACCCAGTCTCAGGGGAGGGGAGGCGGACCCAGTCTCAGGGGGGAGGAGGACAGGTGGACCCAGTCTCTAGGGGAGGAGAACGTCAGGGGACAGGTGGACCCAGTCTCAGGGGAGGAGAACGTCAGGGGACAGGTGGACCCAGTCCTAGGGGAGGAGAACGTCAGGGGACAGGTGGACCCAGTCTAGGGGAGGAGAACCCTCAGGGGACAGGTGGACCCAGGTGGAGGAAGACCCAGGGGACAGTTGGACCCAGTCCTAGGGGAGGAGACGTCAGGGGACAGGTGGACCCAGTCCTAGGGGAGGAGAACCTCAGGGGACAGGTGGACCCAGTCCCAGGGGAGGAGGGGAGGAGAACCTCAGGGGACAGGTGGACCCAGTCCTAGGGGAGGAGAACCTCAGGGGACAGGTGGACCCAGTCCTAGGGGAGGAGAACCTCAGGGGACAGGTGGACCCAGTCCTAGGGGAGGAGAACCTCAGGGGGTGGAGAACCTCAGGGGGACAGGTGGACAGGTGGACCCAGTCCTAGGGGAGGAGAACCTCAGGGGACAGGTGGACCCAGTCCTAGGGGAGGAGAACCTCAGGGGACAGGTGGACCCAGTCCTAGGGGAGAGAAACCTCAGAGGACAGGTGGACCCAGTCCTAGGGGAGGAGAACCTCAGGGGACAGGTGGACCCAGTCCTAGGGGAGGAGAACCTCAGGGGACAGGTGGATCCAGTCCTAGGGGAGGAGAACCTCAGGGACAGGTGGACCCAGTCCTAGGGGAGGAGAACCTCAGGGGACAGGTGGATCCAGTCCTAGGGGAGGAGAACCTCAGGGGACAGGTGGACCCAGTCCTAGGGGAGGAGAACCTCCAGTAAGAGAACGCAGCACTGCTGTACACAAAGTAACTTTTATTTTTGGGATAGAAACAGGTTTTTATTACAGGGAGGGACAAAACAAAAAAAAAATAAAGTTTATATCCACTATATACAGGAGAGGCGAGCACAGTGCCGCTACTCCCCTCTCAATGTTCCATCCGGGTCCTCCCACCAGTGTCAGGGCTCCTCCTTGGGCCCCGTGCTGCTCCCGCTCCGCCCGTCTCTGCACTTCTGGCAGTAATAGATGTCTGGAACGTTACTCTTGCGGATCTTCGCACAGGACAGATGAACCCACGTACAACAAATGTTACACTCGATCATCGGACGCCCGGCAAACGGCTTCTCGCAGTAACAGGTCACCAGGTCCCACGAGTCGTCACCTGTCAGACAAAACCAATGGAGGTGAGAGGACCAGTCCTGAACGTCCCGGAGAATCCCCTCCCCCAATCTATGTAGAGGGGGCACAGAGACAGGAAGTAAAGGGAAATCTCTCCAATGGGGACACAGACCAACCAAACATAATAGAAGGGAAGGAACCACAGACAAGGTTTCCTCTTCCCGTGTCCCCCATTTCCTGTACATGTCACATGCAGACCACCCCCTAGGTAATGCCCACAGGTGTGAGGCTGAGGCTCAGGATGGACAGAACTGATATCCAATCAATGACAGGGGCGGGACAGATGTCAGAATAGAAAATCATTGGTCAGACACTCCCCTGGGGTACTTCCTGTACAAGTTATGCTGACCTGAGAGCTGCCGGCGGGGTCACGCTGGACCCAAGATGAGCAACCCAGCCAAGGGCCCCAGAGGAATACAGTCCACGATCCATGTTCATTCCAGACACCACAACCCCAATATGGGGCCACACACAAACCGGGGGTGTAGCAATTGTACGTACAGAGATGGATGCAAACCTCCATTTGGAAAAGGCCTCCATCTTGTATCATTTCTACTCCCAAATCATCTTCCCTCCAATCCCCCATCCCTCTGTGTTGAGTGACATGTGGTCTGTATGATGCCAGAGATCACAGGCATCAGGCACAGTGGGAGAGCTCATGGTTATAAACCCCAATTAGCCTGGCCCCAGTATGTGTGAGATTCTTGCTTGGAAAAGGATCGTAAAGTCATAAACCAGTCCTTCACTGAGCTTCAAAGACATTCCAGCTAGCTGTAAAACAGACCCACATTTAAAAACCCACTTTTCCATATAATTTTATATCTGGAGATGGGAAATAATGACATAAAACCCGGGCATATATTCGGTTAGCTCAGTTTAATGCAAGTCGTCTGACATCTTACACCCCCTAGCTGAAATCCTACAGGAGAGCAGAAAACGATATCTCCTCCACCGTCCCAGCAGGTATGTCATACTTAATATCTAGACGTTCAGCGGATGATTCTGCTTACTAATCTACTAGTGGCCAGGCTGCTACATGCACCTAGGGTAGGTTACTGATCAGGATATAAACTGCGAGGGATTTCGCTTCTAGCTTGGGTCTCCGTCTAAACACCCCTCCCCAAATGAGGCGATTGGTTCTCTGCTTTAAAGGAGACACCCTGCTGAGTTCCTAGAAAAAGGTTGTTATGCTGGGAGTTGTTGAAGAATTTTTCCTTGTAACATCGGAACCAACTTTGGGAAAAAGGGACTCTTTTGCTCTGACACTTGAATGTTGCTTAAACCCCGGCTGACGGCAAGTACTTTACCTCTCTAAACTCCTTTCTGTTATCTCTTTGCTGTGTTATTGCTTTCTCTCTATATATATTTGTTACATCTTTTTCTGTAAATATTTTTATTGCACCATTTTGACCTCTTTAGTAATAAATCCTATTTTCTGAAAAGTGTTGAACTGTTTCTAAAGCTCTTTAATGCAAACTAAGAACCTCTGTCTTTGAAGAGTGCTACTGTGTGTGTTTTAACCCTCTGTAAACATCTGCCTGCAGTGACCGTGGTATACAGACGATTATCCAATCATTATAGTGTTATTGCTCATATCGTCGAGTTTCCTCTTTCTCTGTACAAAAAGGAGTGGGTGGCAGTGTGAAGGGTTAATTGCGGAATTAACCTGACTCAGTAATAATCGCTCTCAGGCTGCCGGTACAATCGATCTGTGATCCATTAGCTGGAAAATCGTTGTGCAGGGTGCAGCTGGGTGTGGCATTGTTACGCACGTGACATCACGGTTTTAGATGGCTAGTCTTTCGGTCACGAGTTTGGTGAGAAGGGCTGGGATCTGACGCGCAATCGTCACACGGGGAGCATGCAGGGGACCACACACAAACCAGGGGGGCACGCAGGGGACCACACACAAACCGGGGGGGGGGGTTGGGGGTCACGCAGGGGGGGGACCTGGGGGGGGGGCACGCAGGGGACCACACACACAAACCTGGGGGGGGGGGGGGGGGGTACACGCAGGGGAGGGGACCACACACAAACCTGGGGGGGGGGGGGCAGGGGACCACACACAAAACCTGGGGGGGGGGCACGCAGGGGACCACACACAAACCTGGGGGGGGGGGCAGCACGCAGGGACCACACACAAACCTGGGGGGGCAGGGGACCACACACAAACCTGGGGGGGGGGGCACGCAGGTGGACCACACACAAACCCGGGGGGGGGGCACGCAGGGGACCACACACACAAACCCGGGGGGGGGGGGGCACGCAGGGACCACACACAAACCTGGGGGGGGGGGGGGGGGGCACGCAGGGGACCACACACAAACCTGGGGGGGGGCCCACGCAGGGGACCCCCCACCACCACAAACCCACCTGGGGGGGGGGCACCGCAGGGGACCACACACAAAACCTGGGGGGGGGGGGCACGCAGGGGACCACACACAAACCTGGGGGGGGGCACGCAGGGGCCACCACACACAAACCTGGGGGGGGGGCAGGGGACCACACACAAACCTGGGGGGGGGGGGGCACGCAGGGGACCACACACAAACCTGGGGGGGGGGCACGCAGGGGACCACACACAAACCCTGGGGGGGGGGGGCAACGCAGGGGACCACACACAAACCTGGGGGGGGGGCACGCAGGGGACCACACACAAACCTGGGGGGGGGGGGGCCACACACAAACCTGGGGGGCACGCAGGGGACCACACACAAACCTGGGGGGGGGCACGCAGGGGACCACACACAAACCTGGGGGGGGGGCACGCAGGGGACCACACACAAACCTGGGGGGGGGGCACGCAGGGGACCACACCACAAACCTGGGGGGGGGGGGCACGCAGGGGACCACACACAAACCTGGGGGGGGGGGCACGCAGGGGACCACACACAAACCTGGGGGGGGGGGGCACGCAGGGGACCCACACACAAACCTGGGGGGGGGGGGGCACGCAGGGGACCACACACAAACCTGGGGGGGGGGGCACGCAGGGGACCACACACAAACCTGGGGGGGGGGGGCACGCAGGGGACCACACACAAACCTGGGGGGGGGGGCACGCAGGGGGGCACACAAACCTGGGGGGGGGGGGCACGCAGGGGACCACACACAAACCTGGGGGGGGGGGGCACGCAGGGGACCACACACAAACCCTGGGGGGGGGGCACGCAGGGGACCACACACACAAACCTGGGGGGGGGCACGCAGGGGACCACACACACAAACCTGGGGGGCGTGGCACCGCAGGGGACCACACACAAACCTGGGGGGGGGCACGCAGGGGACCACACACAAACCTGGGGGGGGGGGGGGCACGCAGGGGACCACACACAAACCTGGGGGGGGGGGGGGGCACGCAGGGGACCCACACACACAAACCTGGGGGGGGGCACGCAGGGGACCACACAAACCTGGGGGGGGGGCCACGCAGGGGACCACACACACAAACCTGGGGGGGGGGCAGGGGACCACACACAAACCTGGGGGGGGGCACGCACCACACACAAACCTGGGGGGGGGGCACGCAGGGGACCACACACAAACCTGGGGGGGGGCACGCAGGGGACCACACACAAACCTGGGGGGGGGGCAGGCACGCAGGGGACCACACACACAAACCTGGGGGGGGGGGCCACGACGCAGGGGACCACACACAAACCTGGGGGGGGCACGCAGGGGACCACACACAAACCTGGGGGGGGGGGGCACGCAGGGGACCACACACACAAACCTGGGGGGGGGGGGCACGCAGGGGACCACACACAAACCTGGGGGGGGGGCACGCAGGGGACCACACACAAACCTGGGGGGGGGGGGCACCAGGGGACCACACACAAACCTGGGGGGGGGGGCACGCAGGGACCACACACAAACCTGGGGGGGGGGGCACCCAGGGGGCCACCACAAACCCCAGGGGGGGGGGCACAGGGGACCCACACCAAACACACAAACACACAAACCTGGGGGGCCACGCAGGGGGGACCACACACAAACCTGGGGGGCGGGGCCACGCAGGGGACCACACAACAAACCTGGGGGGCGGGGCCACGCAGGGGACCACACACAAACCTGGGGGCGGGGGGCCACGCAGGGACCACACACAAACCTGGGGGGCGGGGCCACGCAGGGGACCACACACAAACCTGGGGGGCGGGGCCACGCAGGGGACCACACACAAAACCTGGGGGGGGGCCACGCAGGGGACCACACACAAACCTCTGGGGGGCGGGGCCACGCAGGGGACCACACACAAACCTGGGGGGCGGGGCCACGCAGGGGACCACACACAAACCTGGGGGGGGGGGGGCACGCAGGGGACCACACACAAACCTGGGGGGCGGGGCCACGCAGGGGACCACACACAAACCTGGGGGGGGGCACGCAGGGGACCACACACAAACCTGGGGGGGCAATGCAGGGGACCACACACAAACCTGGGGGGCAGGTGACCACACACACGCAGGGGGACCACACACAAACCTGGGGGGGGGGGGGCCACGCAGGGACCACACACAAACCTGGGGGGGGGCACGCAGGGGACCACACACAAACCCTGGGGGGGGGCACGCAGGGGACCACACACAAACCTGGGGGGGGGGGGGGCACGCAGGGGACCCACACACAAACCTGGGGGGGGGGGGGGCACGCAGGGGACCACACACAAACCTGGGGGGGGGGGCACGCAGGGGACCACACACAAACCTGGGGGGGGGGGCACGCAGGGGACCACACACAAACCTGGGGGGGGGCACGCAGGGGACCACACACAAACCTGGGGGCGGGGTCCACGCAGGGGACCACACACAAACCTGGGGGGCGGGGCCACGCAGGGGGACCACACACAAACCTGGGGGGCGGGGCCACGCAGGGGACCACACACAAACCTGGGGGGCGGGGCCACGCAGGGGACCACACACAAACCTGGGGGGGGGGGCACGCAGGGGACCACACACAAACCTGGGGGGCGGGGGGCACGCAGGGACCACACACAAACCTGGGGGGGCACGCAGGGGACCACACACACAAACCCCGGGGGGGGGGGGCACGCAGGGGACCCGTAGGCAGCTCAGCCTATTGCTGTGAATGTCAGAAAGCAATCCACCCCAGTTGACTCAGTGGACAGAACTGGTGATGCTGTCCAATGAGGAGGCTGGGGGCGGAGCCGTGAGACAGGAAGCTGCATGTAAATCCCAGGACTGGCAGAGGGGATTCTAAGGGAGCATCTCAGGGGCCCCAGACAGCTGATACACAGCCATCCACCATCTCCTCCCATAACTGGGAGGCACAGCCTGAGTGACCCGCCCCGGGCACAGTACACCTTCACCCGGGGCTCCACCCACAAGGAGGATCCAGCAGGGTATACCACACCCTAACCATTGTGAAGTCAGAGTGGGGGGCGGAGCCTACCATGGACTTCAGCAGTAAGAACACCCCCTTCCTACCAATGGATGCAACAGCAGGGAGGGGTTAGAGCCTCATTTACATATTCCCCAACACAGGCTGACTCCGCCTTTACCTGACTCCACCATGATGTCTTCATCCATCACCTGCGTATCGGCGTCACTCGAGCTGCCACCCCCCGTCCCGCTGCTTTCTGCGCTGGGGGGAGGTTGTGGTGCGGGGGGAGGAGCCAATGGTCTCCGCCCTCTGTCCTCATCATCAGTGTCCGTGTCACTCATTTTCACACTGGCTCCTCCTCTGTGTCTCTGCCTCCTCTTTCTGCGGCTGCTCCGCCTCACGCGGGAATGTTCCGCCCCCTTCCTCTTCCCGCTGCTTTCTCCCGCCTGGCCCTTGGCCTTCATGACGAATGTCTCGATAGTGCTGAGGTCAGAGGTCGCCGGGGCTGTGGATCCTCTGGGGGTTCCGGGGAGTCCCAGCTGTCGCTCTCCTCCGTCCGATGAGGGGATGTGCCTGGAGGGGTCCATGATGGCTCCTATGGGGAGGGGCAACAGGTTTATAAAGTGACCACCATTGGTCCAAGAATCCACCCACACCTTCTCAGAGGGCCTCCATATCCCGCCTACCCAAAGGATGGAACCTCCACACAGCCTCGAAACCCCTCCCACCCAGAGAATGGGCCAATCAGAAAGCCTCAATTCCCCGCCCACCCAGAGAGCCTCAATTCCCCGCCCACCCAGAGAGCCTCAATTCCCCCCCCCACCCCAGAATGGATCCACCCAGAGATCTTCAATACCCCGCCCACCCAGAGAGCCTCAATACCCCGCCCATCCAGAGAGCCTCAATTCCCCGCCCACCCAGAGAGCCTCAATGCCCCGCCCACCCAGAGAATGGATCCACCAGAGATCTTCAATACCCAGCCCACCCAGAGAGCCTCAATACCCCGCCCACCCCAGAGAGCCTCAATACCCCGCCCACCCAGAGAGCCTCAATACCCCGCCCACCCAGAGAGCCCTCAATACCCCGCCCACCCCAGAGAGCCTCAAACCCCCGCCCACCCAGAGAGCCTCAATGGGCCCACCAGAGAGCCTCAATTCCCCGCCCACCCAGAGAGCCTCCAATTCCCCGCCCACCCAGAGAGCCTCAATTCCCCGCCCACCCAGAGAGCCTCAATTCCCCGCCCACCCAGAGAGCCTGGATTCCACCAGAGATCTTCAATACCCCGCCCACCCAGAGAGCCTCAATGCCCCGCCCACCCAGAGAGCCTCAATGCCCCGCCCACCCAGAGAATGGATCCACCAGAGATCTTCAATACCCAGCCCACCCAGAGAGCCTCAATACCCCGCCCACCCAGAGAGCCTCAATACCCCTCAATACCCCCCCACCCAGAGAGCCTCAATACCCCGCCCACCCAGAGAGCCTCAATACCCCGCCCACCCAGAGAGCCTCAATACCCCCGCCCACCCAGAGAGCCTCAATTCCCCGCCCCCCACCCAGAGAGCCTCAATTCCCCCCCACCCCACCCAGAGAGCCTCAATTCCCCGCCCACCCAGAGAGCCTCAATACCCCGCCCACCCAGAGAGCCTCAATACCCCGCCCACCCAGAGAGCCTCAATACCCCGCCCACCCAGAGAGCCTCAATACCCCGCCCACCCAGAGAGCCTCAATACCCCCCAATATCCCCGCCCACCCAGAGAGAGCCTCAATACCCCGCCCACCCAGAGAGCCTCAATACCCCGCCCACCCAGAGAGCCTCAATACCCCCCGCCCACCCAGAGAGCCTCAATACCCCGCCCACCCAGAGAGCCTCAATACCCCGCCCACCCAGAGAACCTCAATTCCCCCCCCCACCCAGAGAATGGATCAACCAGAGATCTTCAATACCCAGCCCACCCAGAGAGCCTCAATAACCCCGCCCACCCCAGAGAATGGATCCACCAGAGATCTTCAATGCCCCACCCACCCACCCAGAGAGCCTCAATACCACAGCCCACCCAGAGAGCCTCAATACCCCGCCGCACCCAGAGAATGGATCCACCAGAGATCTTCAATGCCCCGCCCACCCAGAGAGCCTCAATGCCCCGCCCACCCCAATACCCCCATCCCAGAGAGAGCCTCAATGCCCCCCCATCCCAGAGAATGGACCCATCACCAGAGATCCTCAATACCCCGCCCACCCAGAGAAATGGGCCAACCAGAGAGCCTCAATTCCCCACCCCACCCCCAGAGAGCCTCAAGATCCCTCCCCCGCCCACACCAGAGAGCCTCAATTCCCCGCCCACCCAGAGAGCCTCAATTCCCCGCCCACCCAGAGAATGGATCCACCAGAGATCTCAATGCCCCGCCCACCCAGAGAGCAGTCAATGCCCCCGAGACCACCCAGAGAGCCTCAATACCCCGCCCACCCAGAGAATGGACCCACCAGAGATCCTCAATTCCCCCACCCACCCAGCAGAATGGACCCCACCAGCGATCCTCAATACCCCTCCCAACCCAGAGAAATGGACCCACCAGAGAGCCTCAATACCCTGCCCCGCCCAGAGAGAACGCCCACAGATACCCCTACCCTACCCAGAGAATGGAATCCAACAGAGAGCCTCAATACCCCTCCCACCCAGAGAATGGATCCAACAGAGAGCCTCAATACCCCTCCCACCCCAGAGAATGGATCCAACAGAGAGCCTCAATACCCCCGCCCAGAGAGCCATCCCAGAGAATGAACCCACCAGAGATCCTCAATATTCCTACCCACCCAGAGAATGGATCCAACAGAGAGCCTCAATTCCCCGCCCACCCACCAGAATGGATCCAACAGAGAGCCTCAATACCCCCGCCCCATCCCCTGCCCCAGAGAGCCTCAAATCCCCTCCCAATTCCCCCACCCAGAGAGCCTCAATATACCCTCCCCACCCAGAGAGCCTCAATTCCCCGCCCACCCAGAGATCCAACAGCCTCAATACCCCTCCCACCCAGAGAGCCTCAATACCCCTCCCACCCAGAGAGCCTCAATACCCCTCCCACCCAGAGAGCCTCAATACCCCTCCCACCCAGAGAGCCTCAATACCCCTCCCACCCAGAGAATGGATCTCAATACCCCTCCCACCCAGAGCCTCAATAACCCTCCCACCCAGAGAGCCTCAATACCCCTCCCACCCAGAGAGCCTCAATACCCCTCCCACCCCTCAGAGAGCCTCAATACCCCTCCCACCCAGAGAGCCTCAGATATGAACCCACCAGAGATCCTCAATTCCCCACCCACCCAAAGAGATAGAACCCACCAGAGAGCCTCAATACCCCACCCACCCAGAGAATGGACCCACCAGAGATCCTCAATACCCCGCCCAACCAGAGAATGGACCCACCAGAGATCCTCAATACCCCCCCCCACCCAGAGAATGGACCCACCAGAGATCCCTCAAAACCCCTCCTCACCCAGAATCAACCCCCGCCCACCCAGAGAATGGACCCCCACCAGAGATCCCTCAAATACCCCGCCCAACCAGAGAACGGACCCACCAGAGATCCTCAATTCCCCGCCCACCCAGAGAATGGACCCACCAGAGATCCTCAATACCCCCCAACCAGAGAATGGACCCACCAAGATCCAGAATACCCCCCCCAGAGCCCCAACCAGAGAGCCTCAATACCCCGCCCAACCAGAGAACGGACCCACCAGAGATCCTCAATACCCCGCCCCCAACCAGAGAACGGACCCACCAGAGATCCTCAATACCTCGCCCAACCAGAGAACGGACCCACCAGAGATCCTCAATACTCTGCCCAACCGGAGAGCCTCAATACCCCTCCCACCCAGAGAACGGACCCACCAGAGATCCTCAATACCCATCACACCCAGAGAATGGACCCACCAGAGATCCTCAATACCCCGCCCAACCAGAGAACGGACCCACCAGAGATCCTCAATACCCCCCCGCCCACCAGAGAATGGACCCACCAGAGATCCTCAATACCCCGCCCAACCAGAGAATGGACCCACCAGAGATCCTCAATACCCCGCCCAACCAGAAACCAGACCCACCAGAGATCCTCAATACCTGCCCACCCAGAGATCCTCAATACCCCTCCCACCCAGAGAATGGACCCACCAGAGATCCTCAATACCCCCCCCACGCAGAGAATGGACCCACCAGAGATCCTCAATACCCCCCGCCCAACCAGAGAATGGACCCACCAGAGAATGGACCCACCAGAGATCCTCAATATCCCGCCCAACCAGAAAAACGGACCCACCAGAGATCCTCAATACCCCTCCCACCCAGAGAATGGACCCACCAGATCCTCAATACCTCACCCAGAGAACGGACCCACCCAGAGAACGGACCCACCAGAGATCCTCAATACCCCTCCCACCCAGAGAACGGACCCACCAGAGATCCTCAATACCCCTCCCACCCTTACAATGGACCCACCAGAGATCCTCAATACCCCGCCCACCCAGAGAATGGACCCACCAGAGATCCCCCACCTCCCCAAGAGAAAATGACCCTCCAGAGAGCATCACTCTTCTGCCCATCCAATGACCAATAACACCCATCTACAGAATCAACCCTCCAAAGACCCTCAATTCTCCCTCCCCATACAGAATGAAAATGGACTGTCCCAGAGAGTTCAGCCCCCCCCCCCCCCCCCAACAGAAAGAGAATCAACCCCCCCCCCCCCCCTCATCAACCCCAACCTAAGCACTGTTGTTCCGTAGAACCGGCACCAAACCTTCTGCTGCTTTCATCCCCCACGCACCACCCCTCCCCCCATCAGGAGCAACCAAATGGGTCACCAGCAGGGGGTGGGGCACAACCACCATCTGCCCCCCAGAAGAGATGCTGGAATTCCCCCTCCCCCGGTCACTTACTTCCTTGTTAGGTGGAGGTATGTACCCGGCGTAGGCCAAGACGAAGCTGCAGAAGCGGTTGAAGTCCTCCACCGTGCGGGAACGTTTCTGCTGGGGGCTGCTGGGGGAAGAACAGAGATGGGGGCTATTAGGTTACCATGGATACACCCCTCCCCCCACTGACAGGACAAGTCAATACATGACCAGCAGCTCACAATGAGCACTTACCTCTGTGGCCGACTTCACTTCTGCAGACGTATCTGAGGGGAGAGAGAGAGAGGAGTTACCTCAAATATCTGCCCCCCCAAACCCACCACCTCCCCCCACTACACCATACCAACACCCCATCGTAACTACCTACCTCCCCCCATCCTCTACCCCTCCCCCATCCTCCCCCCCTATCAGAATAGAGAATCACCATCCCCAACACCCCATCGTAACTACCCTACCACCCCCCCCCACTACACCATCCAACACCCCATCGTAACTACCCCCGGTCCTCCCCCCCATACCTCTAACCTCCCCCCCGGGACACTACAACCGAACATCCCAACACCCCATCGTAACCATACCTACCCCCCCCCCATACCTCTACCTCCCTCACCCAGCACTACACCCGATCCTTCAACACCCCATCGTAACTACCTACCTCCCCCCCCCAAACCCCCACCTCCCCCCCCACTACAACAACCATCCCAAACACCCCATCGTAACTACCTACCTCCCCCCCCATACCTCTACCTCCCCCCACTACAACCATCCCAACACCCCATCGTAACTACCTACCTCCCCCCCATACCCATAACCTCTACCCCCCCCCCCACCATCCCAACACCCCATCGTAACCCCCTACACCATCCCAACACCCCATCGTAACTACCTACCTCCCCCCCATACCTCTACCTCCCCCCACTACACCATCCCAACACCCCATCGTAACTACCTACCCACCCCCCCATACCCCTACCCACCCTCACTACACCATCCCAACAACCCATCGTAACTACCTACCTCCCCCCACTACACCATCCCAACACCCCATCCGTAACTACCTACCCCCCCCACTAAAAAACACCATCCCAACACCCCTCCGTAACTACCTACCTCCCCCCACCAATACACCATCCCAACACCCCTCCGTAACTACCTCCCCCCACTACACCATCCCAGCACCCCCTCCGTAACTACCTACCTCCCCCCAATACACTATCCCAACACCCCCCGCCATAACTACCTAACTCCCCCCCATATCTCTACCTCCCCCCCCCACCACCATCCCAACACCCACTCCCCCCCAAACCCCTACCCACCCTCCCCCCACCCCCCACTTTTCCTTCACCCCCCCCACCCCTACCTACCCTGCCCCCACTACACCTACCCCCAAACGCCTACCTACCCTCCCCCCCCCCCCACCTACCCCCATCCCAACATCTTTCCCCCAAACCCTACCTAACCCCCCCCTACCCCCACCATCCCAACACTCCCCCCCCAACCCAACCTACGTATCCCACCCCACCTATCAACATTCCCAACCCCCCTAACCTCCCCCAATCCCACACCCTCCCCCCCCCCCTACCAACCCCCATCTCAACACCTCCCCCCAAACCCCTACCAACCCCCATCCCAACCCTCCCCTCCCCCAACCCCCCAACCCCCCCATCCCAACACCCCCCCCCCCCCCAACCCCCCATCCAACACCTCCCCCAAACCCCCCCAACCCCCATCTCCCACCTCCCCCAAACCCCCACCAACCCCCATCTCAACACCCCCCCCCCCCCCTACCAACCCCCATCCCAACACCTCCCCCCCCAACCCCTACCCCCCCATCCCAACACCCCCCCCCCCAAACCCCTACCAACCCCCATCCCAACACCCCCCCCCCCCCCCCCTCCCCCACCCCCCCTCACACCCCCCCCCCCCCCCCCCCCCCCCCATCCCCCCACACCCCCCCCCCAACCCCCCCCCCCCCCCATCCCAACACCTCCCCCCCACCCCTACCAACCCCCCCCCCACCTCCCCCAAACCCCAACCCCCCCCCCCAACCCCCCCCAAACCCCCACCCCCCCCCCCCCCCTCCCCCCACCCCACCCCAACCCCCCCCCCCCCCAACCCCCCCCCCCCCCCACACCCCCCCCCAACACCCCCCCCCCCCCCAACCCCCCCACCCTCCCCCAACCCCCCCAACCCCCACCCCCCCCCCCCCCCCCCTCCCCACCCCCCCCCAACCCCCATCCCCCACCACCCCCTCCCCAAACCCTCCCCCAACCCCCCCAACCCCCCAACCCCCATCCCAACACCCCCCCAAACCCTCACCAACCCCCATCCCCCAACACCCCCCCCCCAACCCCACCCCCCCCCCCCCCCCCCCCCCCCCCCCCCCCCCCCCACCAACCCCCCCCCCATCCCCCACACCCCCCCCCCCCCCCCCCACTTACTGCCCCCCCCCTCACTTCCTGTCAACAAGCAACTACCCCTCCCCCCATCACCTCCTCCCCCACTCCAATCACCTCATGTCCCCCCTCCCCCCATAACTACCCCCATCACCTCCTCATGTCCCCCCTCCCCCCATAACTACCCCCATCACCTCCTCATGTCCCCCCTCCCCCCATAACTATTCCCATCACCTCCTCATGTCCCCCCTCCCCCCCATAACTACCCCCATCACCTCCTCATGTCCCCCCCTCCCCCCATAACTACCCCCATCACCACCTCCTCATGTCCCCCCTCCCCCCATAACTACCCCCCATCACCTCCTCATGTCCCCCCTCCCCCCATAACTACCCCCCACCTCCTCATGTCCCCCCTCCCCCCATAACTACCCCCATCACCTCCTCATGTCCCCCCTCCCCCCATAACTACTCCCATCACCTCCTCATGTCCCCCCTCCCCCCATAACTACCCCCATCACCTCCTCATGTCCCCCCTCCCCCCATAACTACCCCATCACCTCCTCATGTCCCCCCCTCCCCCCATAACTACCCCCATCACCTCCTCATGTCCCCCCCTCCCCCCATAACTACCCCCATCACCTCCTCATGTCCCCCCCTCCCCCCATAACTACCCCCATCACCTCCTCATGTCCCCCCCCTCCCCCCATAACTACCCCCATCACCTCCTCATGTCCCCCCTCCCCCCATAACTACCCCCATCACCTCCTCATGTCCCCCCTCCCCCCATAACTACCCCCATCACCTCCTCATGTCCCCCCTCCCCCCCCATAACTACCCCCATCACCTCCTCATGTCCCCCCCCCCCCCCATCACCTCCTCATGCCCCCCCCCCCCCATAACTACCCCCATCACCTCCTCATGTCCCCCCCCCCCCCATAACTACCCCCATCACCTCCTCATGTCCCCCCCTCCCCCCATAACTACCCCCATCACCCTCCTCATGTCCCCCCCCTCCCCCATAACTACCCCCCATCACCTCCTCATGTCCCCCCCTCCCCCCATAACTACCCCCCCTCACCTCCTCATGTCCCCCCCCCTCCCCCCATAACTACCCCCCTCACCTCCTCATGTCCCCCCCCTCCCCCCATAACTACCCCCATCACCTCCTCATGTCCCCCCTCCCCCCATAACTACCCCCATCACCTCCTCATGTCCCCCCTCCCCCCATAACTACTCCCATCACCTCCTCATGTCCCCCCTCCCCCCATAACTACCCCCATCACCTCCTCATGTCCCCCCCCCCCCATAACTACCCCCATCACCTCCTCATGTCCCCCCTCCCCCCATAACTACCCCCATCACCTCCTCATGTCCCCCCCTCTCCCCCCATAACTACCCCCATCACCTCCTCATGTCCCCCCTCCCCCCATAACTACCCCCATAACTACCCCCATCACCTCCTCATGTCCCCCCTCCCCCCATAACTACCCCCATCACCTCCTCATGTCCCCCCCTCCCCCCATACCTACCCCCATCACCTCCTTATGTCCCCCCTCCCCCCCATAACTACCCCCATCACCCCCTCATGTCCCCCCTCCCCCCACAACCACCGAAAACAGCTCCCCTCCCCCCTATACTTACCCCTCACCTACCAACTGTCACTTCTCTTCCTATACCCCCCATAACCGGCACCCCTCCCCCGTACTTACCTCTCCCCCCGGTCTCTCCCTTCCCCCGTCCTCACCATCCCCCCCCCCAGTCCGGTAACGAGGTTCGGGGCTCCACCTACCTCCCGGGCTCTCGCTGGCCTCCCCCCCCATGGCCTCCTCCAGCATGCCGGGCTCCGGGGGGCCCTCCAGGGGCCACACTGTCTCCGGTCACCGCACTGCCTGCCGGGAGCCGCCCGCCGCCTCATGGGACTTGTAGTCCCGTCACCCCGCCTTCCCGCCCGGCGTCCTTCACCACGCCTTCCCCGCGCGTCACTGCTCCTGCTCCGCCCCTCCAGTACCTTTATCGGGCCACGCCCTCTGTACGCGTCACCGCTCCTTGCTGCTGAACCCCGCCCCTTTCCTCTAACCCACAATGCAGCTCGCCGGAACTCAGCCGCCATGACTCCTCCCACAACCGTCTTATGGAGCGGACAACTTCCACCCGACAAGGAGGGGCGGGACTATACAGCAGGGCGTGGCCACCAGAAACCTCTCATCGTGTTTTCCCACTCATACTCCACCCCTGACCCCTCCCACCTCCTCATAAGTCACAACCCACCGACGTCCCTCTCTGTCATCCGGTTCCCGCCCTCGCCCACCTGGTCCCTCCCCCACACTCTGACCTGAAAGCGGAACTTTGATAACAAATAATCTTCACCTGCGGGAGAGCCGCCATCCGGGAACCTCCTCCGCTGTGCGCAGGCGCGGAATCCTCTCCCCGGAGAGCCGCCATCCGGGAACCTCCTCCGCTGTGCGCAGGCGCGGAATCCTCTCCCCGGAGAACTGCCATCCAGGAACCTCCGCTGTGCGCAGGCGCAAACTTCTCTCCCCGAAAAAAGTGCCATCCGGGAACCTCCTCCGCTGTGCGCCGCTCCGTACATCTGTACTGTTCGTTCACCAGTCTCCGCCCCCGAGGAGCGCGCAACCCCACCTATCCATATAGGAAACCCACCTGTCACAGAGGAACCATGCACACTCCATGCGGAGGGAGAGACATGAACGCTTCATGTAGACACCGGGGGGGGGGACAAGCACGCTCCATGTAGAGGGGGGGGGAAGACATGCACGCTCCATGTAGAGGGGGGGGGGGCAAGAAGACATGCACGCTCCATGTAGAGGGGGGGGGAGAAGACATGCACGCTCCCTGGAGATGGGGGGGGAAGACATGCACGCTCCATGTAGAGGGGGGGGGAGACAAGCAGACATGCACGCTCCATGTAGAGACGGGGGGGAGGGGGAGACATGCACGCTCCAGAGGGGGGGGGAAGACATGCACGCTCCCTGGAGATGGGGGGGGGGCAAGCACGCTCCATGTAGACGGGGGGGGGGGGGGAAGACAAGCACGCTCCATGTAGAGGGGGGGGGAAAGACAGCATGCACGCTCCATGTAGAGGGGGGGGGGGAGACATGCACACGCTCCATGTAGAGGGGGGGGGGGGTGAGACATGCACGCTCCATGTAGAGGGGGGGGGAACGCTCCATGTTAGATGGGGGGGGGGAGACATGCACACGCTCCATGGAGACACGGGGGGGGGAGAGACATGCACGCTCCATGTAGAGGGGGGGGAGACATGCACACGCTCCATGTAGAGGGGGGGGGAGAAGACATGCACGCTCCATGTAGAGGGGGGGGGGAGACATGCACGCTCCATGTAGAGATGGGGGGGGGACAAGCACGCTCCATGTAGACACGGGGGGGGAGACATGCACGCTCCATGTAGAGGGGGGGGGACAAGACATGCACGCTCCATGTAGACGGGGGGGGAGGGAAGACATGCACGCTCCATGTAGAGGGGGGGGGGGAGACATGCACGCTCCATGTAGAGGGGGGGGGGGGAGAGACATGCACGCTCCATGTAGAATGGGGGGGGGACCCTCCAATGTAGATGGGGAGAGGGTAGGGGGGGGGGAGACATGCACGCTCCATGGAGACACGGGGGGGGGAGACATGCACGCTCCATGTAGAGGGGGGGGGAGACATGCACGCTCCATGTAGAGGGGGGGGGGAAGACGCTCCATGTAGTCATGGGGGGGTAGAGACATGCACGCTCCATGTAGACACGGGGGGGGGGGAGACATGCACGCTCCATGTAGACACGGGGGGGGGAGACACGCTCCAAGACGCTCCATGTAGACACGGGGGGGGGGGGAAGACACATGCACGCTCCATGTAGAGGGGGGGGGGACAAGCACGCTCCATGTAGACGGGGGGGAGACATGCACGCTCCATGGAGAGGGGGGGGGGGAGACATGCACGCTCCATGTAGAGGGGGGGGGAGCACATGCAAACGCTCCCTGGGGGGGGGGTAGACGGGGGGGGGGGGGGAGACATGCACGCTCCATGTAGACACGGGGGGGGGGGGACATGCACGCTCCATGTAGACACGGGGGGGGGGGGGGGGGAGACATGCACGCTCCATGTAGAGGGGGGGGGGGACATGCACGCTCCATGTAGTCACGGGGGGGGGGAAGAGACATGCACGCTCCATGTAGACACGGGGGGGGGGGAGACATGCACGCTCCATGTAGTTCACGGGGGGGAGAGAACCTGCACGCTCCAGACGGGGGGGGGAGACATTGCACGCGATGGTAGAGGGGGAGAGACATGCACGCTCCATGTAGTCACGGGGGGGGGGAGACATGCACGCTCCATGTAGTCACGGGGGGGGGGGGGGAAAGACATGCAACGCTCCATGTAGACACGGGGGGGGGGGGAGACATGCACGCTCCATGTAGACACACGGGGGGGGGGGACATGCACGCTCCATGTAGACACGGGGGGGGGAGAGACATGCACGCTCCATGTAGACATGGGGGGGGGAGAGACATGCACGCTCCATGTAGTCACGGGGGGGGGGGAGAGACAACGCGCTCCATGTAGACAGGGGGGGGAGACATGCACGCTCCATGTAGAGGGGGGGAGAGGAGCACGCTCCATGTAGACACGGGGGGGGGGGACATGCACGCACCCATGTAGAGACATGGGGGGGGGATAGACATGCACGCTCCATGTAGACACGGGGGGGTAGACATGCACGCTCCATGTAGACACGGGGGGAGAGACATGCACGCTCCATGTAGACACAGGGGGGAGACATGCACGCTCCATGTAGACACGGGGGGGGGTAGACACGGGGGGGGACATGCACGCTCCATGTAGACAGGGGGGGGGTAGACATGCACGCTCCATGTAGAGGGAATTGCACGGGGGGGGAGACATGCACGCTCCATGTAGACACGGGGGGGGACATGCACGCTCCATGTAGACACGGGGGGAGGGGATAGATGTAGACACACGGGAAGGGGGGGAGAGACATGCACGCTCCATGTAGACACGGGGGGGGAGACATGCACGCTCCATGTAGACACGGGGGGGGGGGGAGATATGCACGCTCCATGTAGACACGGGGGGGAGAGACACATGCACGCTCCATGTAGATGGGAGGGGGGGGGGGAGACATGCACGCTCCATGTAGACACGGGGGGGGGGGGGGGGGGAGACATGCATGCTCCGCTCCATGTAGTCACGGGGGGGGGGGGGAAGACACGCACGCTCCATGTAGTTACGGGGGGGAGACATGCACGCTCCATGTAGACACGGGGGGGGGGACATGCACGCTCCATGTAGATACGGGGGGGGGTGAGACATGCATGCATGCTCCATGTAGTCACGGGGGGGGGGGGGAAGACATGCACGCTCCATGTAGTCACGGGGGGGTGGGGGGGGGGACATGCACGCTCCATGTAGACACGGGGGGTAGACATGCACGCTCCATGTAGGGGGGGGGGAAGACATGCACGCTCCATGTAGACACGGGGGGGGAGACATGCACGCTCCATGTAGACACGGGGGGGAGAGACACGCACGCTCCATGTAGACACATGGGGGAGGAACACGCCCACGCATACCATCCAATGTAGACACTGGGGGGGGGGGAGACACGCACGCTCCATGTAGACACGGGGGGAGAGACACGCACGCTCCATGTAGACACGGGGGGAGAGACATGCACGCTCCATGTAGACACAGGGGGAGAGACATGCACGCTCCATGTAGACACGGGGAGAGACATGCACGCTCCCTGTAGACACTGGGGGGGAGACATGCACGCTCCATGTAGACACTGGGGGGAGGGGTAAGACATGCACGCTCTATTCAGATGGGGGGGGGAGAGACATGCACGCTCCATGTAGACACGAGAGGGAGATATGCACGCACCATGCAGACACGGGGGGGGGGGGAAGACATGCGCGCTCCATGCAGACGCTGAGGGGGAGACATGCACGCTCCATGCTGACGCTGAGGGGGAGACATGCACGCTCCATGCAGATGCTGAGGGGGAGACATGCATGCTCCATGCAGACGCTGAGGGGGACATGCATGCTCCATGCAGACGCTGGGGGGGCAAGCACGCTCCATGCAGACGCTGGGGGGGCAAGCACATTCCATATGAACACTGGGGACACACTCCATATAGACACGGGGAGGGGGGGGGGGAAGAAATGTACACTCTCCGTGCAGACACTGGGGGGGAGACAGGCCTCATTCTGGTGGGTCGGGGGAAAAAAGTACCTGGTTTCTAGTGGTTTGGAAGAAGAGCAATATTCTGAAGGTCCAAGGAGACGAGCCCGGGGGCTGGTGGGCTGGAGACAAGAGCCCCCGGCCGGCCCTGGGCTGGGCTGGAGACAAGACAAGCCCGGGCCTGCTGGGCTGGAGACAAGAGCCCGGGCCTGCTGGGCTGGAGACAAGAGCCCTCATTTTGATGGTCTGGGGACAAGAGCCTTGTTCTGTAAATCTGGAAAAAAGAGCCCAGTTCAGGTGGTATGGGCAGAAGAGCAGCATCCTGGTGGGCTGGGAGAAAGGGCCCCAGTTTAGGTGATCCAACAAAAAGAGCCCCATTCTAGTGGTGTGTGGAGAAGAACCCTTATTTGGTGGCCCCATTCTGGACTGAGGAGAATAGTGCAGTTTTTCTGGTCCAATAGAAGAGCCCTGTTCTGTAGGTCTTGGGAGAAGAGTCAAGGTCTGGGGAAAATAGCTCTGTTCTAATGGCATGGTGAGAAGAGCTCCTGGTGATCCAGGGAGAAGTGTCCCATTCTGGTGGTCCTGGGAGAAGAGCCCTGTTTTGGTGGCCCCGAAGAAAAGCTCCATTCTGGACTGAGGAGAACAGCCCAATTTTGGAGGTCCAATAGGAGAAGAGCCCCAAATGGTCTGGGAAGAAGAGTCCTGTTCTGTAGGTGTTGGGAGAAGTCAAGGTCTGGTGATCTGGGGAAAATAGCTTGGTTCTAATGGCATGGTGAGAAGAGCTCCATTCTGGTGATCTAGGGAGAAGTGTCCCCTTCTGGTGGTCCTAGGAGAAGAACCCTAAACTGGTGTTTGAATAAGAGCCCTGTTGTGGCGGTCCGAGGAGAAGAGCCCCGTTGTGGCAGTCTGGGAAAAGCGGACAGCAACAAGACAGACTTTTGGTTAGAAGTCCAGGAATCTACTGCTGTCCGGATCCTGCTGGTCATCAGTTCATGGGCTGTGCGACTCGGGACTGGAACCCACCATCTGGGCGACTCGGGACTGGAACCCACCATCTGTGTCAGTAGACACCTCGGAGTTGCTCAGTGTGAGGCAGCTGTGACCAGTCCTGACATCGAACATCTACAAGCAATGGCTCCTTCTGTCCCAGTGAGAACCTTTCCTTCCACAGAGTCTTGGCCTTTGCTGCAGATTCATCTACTCAGATCGAAGCTGACATGGCCCAGAGCCCCAGGAATGGTGGTGATGGTCATCCAAGTCTTCCTGAGGACACAATTA